TCTTTATATACAGTCAGTGATCATCTTTATATACAGTCAGTGATGGTCTTTATATACAGTCAGTGACAACAAACAGGAAGAGAGTAAAAATCGTGTTGATTGAAATGTGTGCCTCCGTGTGTTGTAGCTCATGTGATAGCGAAGGCCGAGGGTCTGGCCATCATCTCCGTCATCAAGGCCGGCTTCATGATCACCGCCAGAGGAGGGAGCGGCATCGTCATCGCCAGACTGGCCGACAGACGTAAGACCTCTGACCCTGTCCGTCTGTCTTCGCGCTCACGGTTCCTCTTCCTGTTTCTCCGGATCTTCACTTCCTCTCTGACCTTCTTTTTGACATTTTGCGTTTCCTTGGCAACAAACAGACACACAGGCTCAGATGTGCCAGCGGCGCTGTGAGCAGCAGTCATCTGATGAGCTGCGTCTATGGTCACAGACGTTAATTAGCTCGTCTGGCAGTGGCGGCTGTCACTTTTCCGTGGCGGGTGTCAGAGTTGGTCGTTGGGCCAAACCCAGCGAGGATCACACGGGCGGAGCCGCTGCTGACGCCTCCACCTCCTCTGCAGGCTGTTTGGTGCTTTTCTGTTGAACAGTTTGAAAACACTGAATGAATCTTCGGCTTCGTGAAAACCGAAGTTTAAAATGTTAAAGTTTTACCGTGCGGACGCCTCCACCTGTGGACTTTAAATGTTTAATGATGCGAGGAAAAGGAGGAGCAGAGATTTCTTTTTTCTAGGTAAATTATTTGGTTTATTTAAAATTTTAAAAAGTGAAGAATTAGTTCATGGTGACGTCTGTAAATGTTTTTTTTACAGATTATAACAATCTACAGTACATGTATGACAGCGATCGGCGAGAGTTAAAACAGATTGTAATTCTTCCATTGTTTAAATTGTGTTGTTTATTTATTGTGTTTCCTCATTGTTTCTATTTTAATGCGGAAGTTTCCTAAAATGACCCAAACCATAAAAAACACGGCCAAAGGCAAATTTATTCAATTACAATCTGACAAAACAAGATTATACAACACATTCATGTTTATTTATAGAGTTGAAACCAGAGTTGCTCTGTTTTTCTTGTTCATAAACTAAAATAATGTTTGTTGTGTTTGTAGGTTGGTCCGCACCTTCTGCCATCGGCATCGCTGGCCTGGGAGGAGGCTTCGAGATCGGAGTGGAGGTGAGAGACTCAATAAACTCACTTCAGCTGTGTACGTGTATATAAAGATATCAGTGGCTGTGTATAAAAGTCATGCGTATAACTAAAGACACGCCTCCATCAGGTGTCGGACCTGGTGATCATCCTGAACCAGCGTAGAGCCATTGAGGCATTCACAAAGGGCGGGAATCTGACGCTGGGCGGGAACTGCACCGTTGCCGTGGGACCCATGGGCAGGTGAGCACTAACTCAGCAGCAGTATGACAGTGACCATCTAACCTAGAACCCTTTAGGGAGATTAGTGTCAGAGACCTATAGAACCTTCTCCCGACCAGAACCTCCTCAAACACCAGTTGAACCTCGAGGCCTCGAACCTTCTCTCAAGGGTCTAGAACCTCTCTGTTGTTTATTGTGTGTAGTACTACAGTTCTTCATCGTTGTGTTCCTCAGGAACGTGGAGGCTGACGTGGCGCTGCGTAGCACTGCAGCTGTTTTCACCTACTGCAGGTCCAGAGGTTTGTTTGCTGGAATCTCGTTGGAGGGATCGTACCTGATTGAACGCAAAGACACCAACCGCAAGTACGTACAACACCCGTCCGCCTCCCCGACTGTCAGAACGTAAGTCACCACAGTTCTCTTGTATCGTTGTGTGCACTGTGGCAGGTTTTACTCCCAGGATATCCGTGCGTCGGCCATTTTGAACGGCGATGTGGAGCCCCCCTCGGAGTGCCACGCCCTTTATCACATCCTGGATGCCTACGCTGAGGCCTACACCTCTGATTGGTGCAGCAAGAACATGCGACAAAAGGTAAACGAGACTTTCCAGATGTCTGTCAGGTGCGTCAGTGGACAGATGTTCTTCACACATGCTCAGGAGTTGTTTTTGAGTCGTTTCCTGTCTGATCCTGCGTTGTCTTCGCTGTGCGCATGATTCTGCCAGAACTAATACTTTCTTCCAGCCACTTATCTGAGCAGCTTTCAGTTTGAAAATGAAAAAAATGCTGGGATAGAGAAACGTCTCAAGTTGAAGTTCCACCTCCTGTGTCGGTTTCTTTGATGACTGATCAGCTTGTTGTGGTTTAAAGCCTATGTGTCACTTGAGCTGCTGAAAATAGCTACTAGAACTAAAAGTGGGTTATTCAACATTTCGCCACCAGCGAACGTAGTAAACCTCACAAACCTGAAGTTACAGCCTGACGACCAGTGACACAAGAATCAGCTGTCAGAGGTTTCACACTTATTTTAAGTGTTTGTCGTTAAAAACAGATTCTGAATGTTGCTTTGAAGTCTGTGGATCTGAATTCAGCCTTTTGATCTGCTTCTCCTCGAGTAAACAGAGTCGTGCTGGTCAGTGCCTCTCGCTGTTAACGTCCATGAAATGACTCATTATCAAACCTCATCCACGTCGCTTCTCCGGGATCCTCCTCCCTCCTCGGTCGTTTCCAGCTCGTCACAGCGTTTAAACCTGTAGCTCCTGTTCTCGTTTGAAACACGTTCACTCACAGACGTTGTCGGTGTTTTGAACTCGTCACCGGGTGTCGGTCAGACGAGTTTGTTCCTCCACACTGGAGACACGAGGCCGGAGGCGTTATTACCACATAATAATGTAACATCTTGTTTTGATCTCAGAATAACTCTTGATTCACTTCGACTCGCGGATGAACTGATTCGATTCTGGTGGTCAAAGGTCACAGGGACCTCATGTGAGGTTGAAATACAAGGACGTCAATCGAGTGGTTCTCAAATTCTCTATCGTTCTCTCTGCAGTCATCTGTCACTCCATCCAGACCTCCTGCTCCGCCGAAGCAGAAACCGCCCAGCAGCTACCAGCCACCGGCGAGCAGCTACCAGCCGCCGCCCAGCAGCTACCAGCCTCCGGCGAGCAGCTACCAGCC